GGGGGGGGGGATGAACAAAAAGTGATTAAAAATGCTGGTTGTAATTTTATATAGGATAGGACTCCTTGAGAAGATGAACCTTAGGCAAAGATTTCAGAAACTAGACACAGAAAGCCACAGAAGGCTGTAGTGGTTGAGAGCAGGGAGAAGAGTAGGAGGTGGGGGTTAGAGAAGTTGGGTGTTCTTACAGAGTCTATTTTGAGTGAAAGGGAACACCCACTCTCCTTTCCCCACCAGATATTGGCTATCTAAAATGTTTCCCTAAATAAAACTTAGAAGGACACCATATAGCTTTTTAAGCAAAGAGAAAGTAAAACTACGTATCCCTGACCCTACTTATTCAGTAATAGACTTGGAAGGAACTGTTAAGGATAAAATGGCTTAAAGAAAAAAAAGGTTTACACATATAGGCACATAAAGGAACATCTTGGGGAGCTACAAAAACAGGGCTTTTCGTGACTTTATTTCACCTGGTTACTCTCAATTTAATAAGCTAGAGTTAATAAAAATAATAAAATTTCCCATAGAAATTATCTCTAGATTGATTTTTTTTTATTATTTGTGCACTTCACATCACATATTGTAAAATGTGATAAATAAGATCACTGAGTAAACAAAGTGACTTTTTTTCCTAGATAAATTAATGTATAATAAAGGTAACTTCAAAACTTTTTCAACCTTGGTAAATACAGTTTCTTCTCCTAATGCAACACTACCTTTAACTATCACTTATTTGTGAATTGTTAGAAAATAATGACTATCAATCAATTCAAGGTCTCTAGACTTTACGAATATTAATCAAGATTCCCTCTAACAAAGGCAACCTCTGGGAACATGTAGGTTAAAAGGCCAGCTTCAGAGTAAAATAATATTCTCTATTCACAATAAGGTCAGATGGAGTTTAGTCAGTCCCCCTGATGGCTTCTTTTCAATAGACAAACAACAAGCTCAAATAGAAAAATTGAAGGATGACTTCTTTTAGATAAGGTAATTATAATTCGTTCAAAAGATAATGCAGCATTTCAACTATGTTATTACTTTAAACTGAAAGTAGTTTATGATGTGCTTATGACAATGGAATGGAAAAGTCATCAATATTACCATCTTATGATTCTGTGTGTCTCTTGTATAACTGACTATCGCCTGAAGGTCTCAGACATAAGGAAGAAATTATTATAGTAATGGTACTGAAAATGAGTTACTGGAAAAGGTTATAAAAACACTTTAAATATCTTTCAAACCTTAGCACCACCAACAAAACAAAATAAAACCTTTCAGAAAATGCACAAATGTTCACCCTCAGGAATGATTTAGTATTGTCTTACCTGAAAGTAGGAATATGAGGCAGAAACTCTTCAGACCTCATTCATCTTTAGTATTCTTTAAATTCAAAACGGTTTTTAATTCATCCATTTTTTTTGGTCCTAAATTTGCCACTCTCTACAACCATCCTCTCCATATCTCTTCTGCTATCCATGAAACTTTAAATTTGCTATCAGAAAATCTGTATTCTGACTGCTTTCATTATCATTAAAGTAATGTTACAATGTGTTTTTAAAACTAATTGGAAATTGTTTTAAATTAAAAATTTTAAAGCCACACCTAAACTGGTGAAAAAATGATAAAATTTAATCAGCTACATGCCTAGATATGTTTTGTAAATCTGTTACCTAGAAAGAAGTTTATCCTTCAAGTAAAATACAATAATATACACATTGTTTGCAACACCCTTGGTTGATGTGTGATAAATACAGTAAACTGTTAACAACTATAGAACTTAGGAGGTAGCTATGTCATGTTTACTGTAAAGCTGTTTCAACTTTCTTATGTTTGAAAGTTTTCCTAATATTGTTGGAGAAAGTGTTAATCATATTTGAAACCTGTTTTAAATGGCAAAGGAGAAACACTTAATCTACAGCACAGTTCTGCACAAAATAAGAGGCAAAACTTTGCTGCTTATATTTGTTGAGCTGAGGAGGAACAAGATTGCCAAAAACCCTTTATTTTATCTATTCACCTCCAGAAAGATACACAAAATTTACACTCCTATTGAAAAATGAAGGCAGGTAGAAAGGTAGGTTTGTTGAGAACTCTATAGCCAAAGAAATTTCTTCTGGCTGAATTTTGAAGCATAAAAATAGAAATTTCCTTTGTCTCTAAATAAAGAATGTTTCAAATCCTTGCCTAAACAGAATAACTCCATTTACAGTATAGATTTATTTCCTAAAAGGCAATAAAGCATTCCTTTCTTTGGATTATTCTTTTTGGTAATGTCCTTTCATAGTAAAACTACTTAAGAATATTCAGACAAAATGTAAAGAACAAACACACAAAGAAATGACCAGCACACTGGAAATAATCTATTCAATGATGGGCACATGAGTTTATGTAGTATCAAAAGCTTTTCACCACAAATGGCTTCCAAAGTGGCAGGGGCAAGGCATGTTTATATGTGATATTCTAGTGATGACATTTTGGTAGTTACTTAGAACCTATTAACCCTATTTTCCTAAGATAGAAAACAAATTATAACTCCAATAAATTGCTCAGCTACTAGTGGATACACAATGATCAACTTATAAGCAAACATTTATTGAAAACTTTCTACATGCCAGGTAAGAGAATATGAACGTAGACTGATTTCATGAAAGTGCTGGTTTAGGAAAGAAGAAATACAGATGAACAGTTACAAAAAGACTTAAATTAACTGTTTATGTATAAAGTATAAAGAGGGGACATAACTCGGCTTAGAGGGTTGTAGATCTCTGAGAAGACTTTCTGAACTTAGTATTAAAAGAATGAGTAGTGGTTACCTACTCAGGAAAGAATAGGAGACAGTATTCCACACCCAGGAAGTAGCATAGAAGCAAAAGTAATAGGTTGTGGGCACTGAGCTATAGGCAGTTCAGTACTGCTGGAGAACAAACTTCTCTCTCCATAGAGAGATGAAGCTAGATAGAGAGGCAGTAACATCACCATTGATGATCCAGTGGGGATGTTAAGGCACCTGAACATTCTCTTGTCTTCACAAGGATTTTTAGAAAGGGAATGACATTTTTAGATTGTATCTTTACAGAACTCCCTAGCCTCTGAGAGAAGGCTGACCGCAAAGGAGACATGATGCCCAGCTAGAGGAGTGACAGAGTGAAGACCTGAACCAAGACAGAGAAAGTAGATATGGTTTCTATTGAGACAGACAAAAGTAACAGAATTGGTGACTTCCAAGTATCTAGGTTGGGTGACTGTATGAAGGACAATCCTGCCCCTCCCCTCCCACCAACATATTTAATACCAACAGAAAATCTCAAATAAAAGAGAAGATAATGAATTGCACTTTGGATGTGTTGAATTTGATACACCTCTGGGTTATCTAGGTGAAAATTTCCTACAAAAAGTTATATACTTGTCAAAGGGAAGAGGCCTGAATAGGAGTTTGAAATTTGAGTTGGCAAAATATTAGGAATAACCTAGAATTACATAAGTAGATTGTCAATTTGGGGGGTTTGTTTTTTTTTTTGTTGTTGTTGTTGTTTTATCATTCTTATAGATGTGTAGTGGTATCTCATTGTGATTTAAATTTTTATTTTCCTTAAGTCTGATGTTTACCTTCTTTTACAATGATTTTCTTCTATTCACATATCTTTCTTGGCTTCAATCTTTTTTCTTGGTTTTCAATCTTTTCCCACGTTTTTAAGTTAAGCTGTATTTTTAATATTATGAGAGTTCTTTACACAAGTCCGTTATCAGATCTATGCTCTGCAAATGTTTTCTCAGTGTGTAGCTTCATGGCATCTTTTGAAGTACATTTTCAATTTTTATTTTGTTTTCTTTTCTGCATAGTGCTTTTGATGTCATACTTAAGTCTTGACCCACCTGAGCGTGGTAGCGTGTGCCAGTAAGACCAGTGAAATACTGGCAACTCAGGAGGCTAAGGCAGAAGGATTACAAATTCAAGGCCAGCTTCAGGAGTGAGACCCTCTCTCAAAATCTCAAAATAAAAAGTAAACGAACTGGAGATGTGGCTCAGAGGTAAAGGCCCCCTTGGGTTCAACACCCAGTACCCCCCCCCCATTTTTTTGTAGTAATGTAATATGGTGTGAGAAATAAATTAATGTAATGAAAGCAGACAGAATTAGGAAGAGTGTATATAGCATGAGAAGTATAAAGGGTGGGTTGAACTCAATACAAAAAGGCACAGGGCCCTTTTGAAGAAACACAAGGAAAATTCCTAACAACCAATAAATACTGTCTACCAAAATAAGCAATGAAAACTGTTGTTTTTAACTTAAGATGGCTAGTGAATTTAGGGACAACATTTTTATTCACAGCAAACCGATACCGGAACTATATCTAATCAACCTCTTTATAAGAATTCCCCCTGTGCAAGCACTTGAGATGAGCTCTGAAATCCCTAAGAACTCTTAAAGGTCATTTCTCTAGGTACAGAAGAGTCCGGGATTCCCGACACTTTCGATGACTAAGCCAGATCCTTGGGGGATTCCAGCCTCAGTTCTTGGGGACAGACCCAAGGAGTCACTGCCTCTGTGGGAAAATCAAGACTACACTCACCGCCGGGTTTGCCACTCTGACACCGCGCCTGCAGGCAGCGGCTTCAACTACCGAACCAGAGGGCGCGCATTAAAATCCGAGCGCTGGGGTAAACCCGGGGCAATTGAGGGGAGTCCCTCTCGTCCGTCAGCCCGCGCGAGGAAGGCGAAGCAGAGGCGCAGGGCGGGGACCCGCAGCCCAACTCGGGTCGAGCTCCTCGGGTGCAAAGATCCACCGCACTTACCCCGGACCAGAAAGGGGATGTTTAAGTCACTGATTCGGAGCAACGAGTGTACGCGGGTTTTTTTTCCCCAGAAGTAGGCTGGGGGCGTTTGACCGACTGCCCCCGCCCAGTGACCTCTAGCCTTCCAACCGCGACAGCCCGCGAATCTCCAGCCTTGGAGTCCGGGTCCGGTGCCCCGCGACCAAGAGCTGGCTCTCCCACGCCTCCCGGCTAGTCGTAAAGTGCAGCAAAAGGCGCCTGCGTTTTGCGGCGCCGTAGGTGAGGCCGGCAGCGTGGGACCTGCTTCACCGGAAAGGCCAGCTGCAATTAGGACTTGGTGGAGCATAGGGGACCAGCTAGCATTCTCTCATCGGGTAATTGGACCCAACTGGTGAGATTGTTTAAAACACGGCTCCAGTCCTTACTTGTGACTCGAGAGTCTCAAACCTCAGTCGTGCCTTGTCGCTCTTCGGGAGCTACTCTGTTGTTCTGTTGCCATCACTAGACTTCAGGTTTCCTCAGGATAGCTGACATTGCTTTTCTTGTTTGTCCTGCAGTCACCCAGTTCGAAATGCTTTACCTGATCGGCTTGGGCCTGGGAGATGCCAAGGACATCACAGTGAAGGGACTGGAAGTTGTAAGACGCTGCAGTCGAGTGTATCTGGAAGCCTACACCTCAGTCCTGACTGTAGGGAAGGAATCCCTGGTAGGTGATTTAGGCTCCCTTCTCAGGAAAACAAAACTACCTGACCTCTGACTTTGATAAACTAGGCTGAATAGAATGTCTGCTGCTTGTTTAAAATGTATCTCCTATTCATTAAGGAGCTGAGAAGTACAAGAAAGAAAGAAAAAAAATACACCAACCAAGTGACTTGAAAAATCGAACAGTGGTTTCGCTACTATAAAGAAAAGTCTCATATTGTGGTTTTCTCCAGCAAATAAAGGAACATTATTTTACACTCCTGGGGGAATAGTTATCAAAATCCCTTATTTCATGAGATAGCCAAGAAATCCTTTTTGAGTTGAGTGTTAATGAGGTGCTGACACCTTAATGAGTTGGTTATATATTCAGAAACCAAGCTGAAAGCCTATCCCTTTGAAGTGTTTCCACAGGGAATGTTGATCGCTTGTCTGTAACATCCAAAGAGATCTTACCTTCAAGTAGACATTTCCCAGTAAAGCTTACACGTATATATTAAGTGATCCTGGGACTAAATAACCAGAGAATTTGTTAGTGTAATTATACATTTACCTAGTTCTCTTTAAGGGCTCATTGTCAAACTCCAAGTAGGGTATGAGTTAAGCTCAAAAGACTGATGGATGTGTTATGGAGTAGATTTTTAGAATTGTCTTTGTCATGTCCAAACAAAAAAGTTACTAGAAGAATTTCAAGTCTCTTTCTCTTAGATTCATACCCCAGAGAATTCTGAAGTTCTTAGAGTTACTTTAAAATCTTGAAGGAATTAAGGCGTGCTCCTTGAAATAAGCATGCATTTAAAAAATTTTCTAATGACCAGCTTTGATTTGTTGGCCCCATTTTTTCACTCTTAGGATGGAATCAAAATATCTAACCTCAGGATGATGGAAATATGTCACTGTAATCAGTGATCAAGACAAATTAGAATGAACTTAAAACCATCTAACAGAAAAATAACAAATCAGCAGTTTTATAAAGAAGGTATCAATCAGTATGGCGTGGAAGAAAGTTTAGATCTAGTTTTTCTTTGCTCTATTATGTGTCAGTGAACAAGTCCTTTAACTTTAGCTTTTTAATATGTAAAATGGGTCAAAAACATCTTCCTTATAGGTTCTTAGCACAGTGCCTGGTACAGAAGTATTTAGAAATGGTAATTGTCACTGGACATATTTCTAAATTTCTGAACTCTATTTTCTTTATTTGTCAAATGGAGTTAATCAATTGGAAGGTTATGTAGGGTTTTATTGAAATGTATGTGAAAGTACTTTGTAAGTTTTAAGTACTAGCTAAATGTCAATTTTGGTTACTCTAACTTTTTAAAGTATTTTTTTCCCCCCAAAATCATAGTTATTGTAGAGTCAAGATCTGGCCCTAGCCTTATCTATTAGTAAATTATATATGCACTGTTGAGATGCAAGAATATTAGTTCTCCCACAGTAAAAAGTACTAACATTTATAGAACAATTGCTTTGCACTGTTTTAAATGCTTTACATTTAGAATAGGATTATTAATCGTTAGTTACTGTTAACATTTTACAGGCGCAGAGAGGCTAAGAAACTTGCCCAATGTGTGAGTGGTAGAGACAGGTTATTAACCAAAGCAGTCCTGTGTTGAGCTTTGCCACTCTAGATCTTTATACTGTACTGTGTCTCTGCAGTCTTACAGACAGATAAAAACTACACTAGGTATAACTTTAGAAAATATCTAAAAGAGAGGGTAGGATTCAAGCAAAGTGGCTTGTCTTTAATCCCACCATATCACAAAATTTCTTCTGGTATGTGCTCCATATTCTTCTCCAGGTCCTCAGTTCACATTCTTCCCTGAACACCTTGCCTATGCACAACTTCATCTACCATAAGTGACTCATTTCTAGACTAAAGTAAGTTATAAATAAATTCATACCTTTATATTACCCAGTAAAATCTCAGAGTCACTTTTATGTCAACTACTTTTTTTCCTTTTCTTCTTCCCTTCATTTCTATCTTTTCTCTTTAAAACAAATTGAGTTTTTAGAGATTTGTATGTACTTAACATACCTATACATACAATCTGGTCTCAACTACAGATAACTATTACACAGTGAGAAAAAATATAGAAAATTTTATCTGTTTTCTACAATGAAATGTTTTCTTTTATCATACTCTAACATAATATTTTTTAAAAGGAACCACCACATCATTGCTAAAGAAATCTGAATTTATGTGCTCTTAATAATGATTAGATTTTAAAGGAAATGGTTTTTAAACCATATCTAGATGGAGTTAGGTCTTGGAACAAGAGCCTCATCCCACAAGTCATTTTGGCAATTTTCAAATTGCCAAAAAGGTAGTATTATTTATATTTTCTCTGGTCAAAAGATAATTGATCTAGATATAGTAAGTCTAAGAAATAATTTAAATAACAATTCATAATAACAGTGGGAGGAAGAAGCTATAAAATCATATGTTTGGAAAGAACTGAGATGAGCTTATCTAAATCATTACTCTTTCCTTTGACCTACTAAAAGTAAAAGTGGTCCCAAATGTAAAATATTTATTAGTTATTAATTATGAGAATACATGTGAGAAAGATTACTTCAGGGTGTGGTTATCAGGAAATACTAGATGGATTATATGGAATTTGAGCTGCGTTTTAAAGTAGTATATATACACCAACCTTTTAAAGTTTTTGTTTGTTTGTTTTTACATTATAATCCAAGTGCAAAATGATAATATCTGTTCATCATTGCGGATAAATGGAGAAAATTGCTCACAGCAAGAGGAAGCTAACTTGGACCCTCAGCTACCTTGTAAAGTAGAGATCATTATTCTCTGTCTATCCCTCATTTGTGGCATATGTGAGGTTCTACAACCAAAGTTCTGCCTTTGAGCAATCACTTACATTTCTTTGCTTTGTTTCTTACTTATAAAATTGAGATTAAAATAGTTCTGATCTCACATTGAAGTCAAGATTAAATGAATTCATATGCATAAGGCTTTTAGAACAGTGCCTGATCACAGAGTAATCCCAATGTAAATGTTTTAGTAGGGACAATGTTAACATAGAATAAGATTTGATAAAGAGCATTCCACCCTGAAGGAAAATCATTGTGAGCTTAGAGGTGGAAAGCACAAACATTTGCTATATTTGTCATTGGACTTCATTGAAATGGCTTTCATTTTTTTCCCAGTGTATCTGTTCCCTTTCTTTGTAACTTAAATAACCTAGATACCACCTCTTCCTTGTTGCCTTGTTTTCTTGTCTAGCGGCTGTGATTGAGATCAGGAAGACAGGAAAGAGGAGAAAAGGACATCACACTTAAAAAATGAGGCCATTAGCTATGAGCTTTTTTAACTTCTTATCTGCCCTTACCACAAATTTGACTCTATCTTCCTTCCACTCTTAGAAAATGACTTGTGGGATGAGGCTCTTGTTCCAACACCTAACTCCATCTAGATATGGTTTAAAAACCATTTCCTTTAAAATCTAATTATTATTCTTTATGTCATCCTATTACCATGTATTTCTCATGTTTTACCTCTGTTTCTCATTCTGAAATCATATTCAAGCTTTGATCACTTTGAAAGTCTCTTTTTTGAAACCTGTTTTCCCCATAGTTATTATTCTTTTTCTTTTATCAAGTATACCTTCGTGGTCCCTAGTTCCACTTGTGTCTCACACTCCTGAAGGCTTACTCCCTTTTCTTAGAAGTATTTTCAACAATTCTTTCATAGTTGAGAACTCTAGAGAATAGTTTTGAATTCTTACTTCTGTTACTTCTTTTGATGTAGTTGACCACTACTGCTAGAAGCTGGCTTTTAGGACATGACTTTCTCTTAATTGTATTCTTGCATTTCCATTTTCTCTGTCTCTTTGTAAACCCATTTCTCTGTTTTTAAACAGTATTTTAAAAACACTTTATCCTCCCATTTGTTTCTGAATACTACTTTTAGCCTCTATTCTTATTATTTTTTGAATAGCTGGTCCATTAAATGGTTTACAATTCAAAATGTACTAAAAAAAGATATAATAAAACATAAAGAGATTTCTGTTCCACTTCCCCTTCTTGGAGGCAGTCACTACTAATTTTTGTGTACCTTCTCGAAATACCTGAAAACAATTTAAACTTACCCTGTTCTGTTCAAAAACTGCCAACTTATAGCAAGAGTGAATTTTAACTTTTATGTTCATTTTCATGAATGATTAGGGCTGAGACTACAAAAACTGGCTAATTAGTCATTGGATGATACATAATCCAAATTTAAAATTATTTGTTAAATAGTACTGCCTGTTTTTCTTATTTTCCTTCTCTCACCCCTGACTAGACTGGATGCTTTTATTAGTGTCTATGTGCTAGTTAATTCTCCATTGGACAGCATGCATCTTAAGAGCAATAGCAATGTATGTCTCATTCACCACCATCTCCCAACATCAAGCCTAGAATTTGGTATGAAGGATGTGCATAAGAAATATTTCTGTAGTGAGTCTATGAATGATTAAATATGTGGGTAAATTTGAAAATAATTTAACATCAGCCTCTTACTACATTTGCTATCTTTTTTAAATATTATTTTTTTGAGAGGATCAGCAATTTGTATATGTGAACATTGTTGTCTCATTAGACCATGAACTGTTTATTAGGTTAGAATAAGTGATAATAAGGAGTAATGCATAATACAAAATCATTGTTGTGAGAGTGGCTTTTTTATTGTTGTTAGATCATTTATAAAGTATGAAATAGAATTATTACTAGCATCATGTGGTTTCTTGGTCTTTAAGAAATGTTAGAAGTTCAGCCAGAAATGGTATATTCCTATAATCCCAGCAGCCCAGAAAGCTGAGGCAGTAGGATCATGAGTTCAAGGCTAGCTTCTGCAACTTATCAGGACCCAGACTCAAAATAAAAAATAAAAGGGGCTGGTGTAGCTCAGTGGCAAGCCTCCCCCTTGGGTTCAATCCCCAGTAATGGGCGGGGAGGAGAATGGGTTCAGTAAAGGCCATTGTTTTCTTCAATTCATAGTAATTGAGTGTGTATTCTCTTAAATATGTAAGTGTTCTGCAACCATTAAGCTTTCTGGCTCATAAAGTCAAAGTAAAGAATATAAAAATTAATGATTAAGAAAAAAGTACTTGGTAAAAGTGAAATGAAAGCATTTTTTATCTATAAGAAGTTTGTTATTGTGAATTTCTAGAACATTTCTCTAGAAAGGTATGTTTTCCACATTTAAGGAACAGGTTTTAGTCAAGTATTAGAATATAATTACCAAAATTGAAATTTGGTAATTTCATTTGTTCATTTACTTATTTGTTTGACAGATATTATCAAGTACCAAACTTTTCTACTACAGCACTCCGAATAACTTTTATTAACTAAAATTTGTCAACATATAAAAAATAGTATTATTTATCTGTGTATCCACCTTAACTTCATTGAATTGCATGTTACTCCATAGGAAATCAGTTATAAGATTGTGATCTTGCAAAAAACTTTTAACCACTATGATATAATCATCAGCTTATTAACTTACTCTCTCCTGGGTTTGTTTCTCTAGAGCCCCAAAGGCATTTGTATGGAAACTTCCTGTATGTTTCTCCTGAAACTCTGCCTTTCTAGCAGAAGCAAGGGAATACAATTTTAAATCTGAATTTCTTGCATTTATGTAGGAATGTTTACTGGTTTTATAAATAGTCAAATCATCATTTTCTGTTATTTCTTTTATGTTGCCTTTTATTTTAGTCAGAGTGTCAGATTGTCCCATAAAAATTTTAATAAAACCAGAACTACAATGTATACTCATTATTAATATATTTATTCTGTATTATCATGGTTTTGAAGTAGGAATCATGCATACATATTCTCTGTTCATCCTATAATGTTCTGCCTGGTCAGTTACAGCCAAATATAGAGGTAAATTTAAAATGCAAAAGGCCTCAGATGTTAGAGGTCTCTTCCTCCTGGGATATTAAGATAGCCTCAAAGACAGTTTAATTGCAATATAGTATAGTGTGCCAGCTCATTGATGAGTTGTATCAAATGATCTGTGTTTGGATAGTTGCCAAGATTCACACCAGCCCCAAATACAACAATTGTTTTTATTGTTGTTGTTGTTGTTGTTTTGGTGTGTGTGTGTGTGTGTGTGTGTGTGTGTATGGAAATGTCACCTGCTTTCCTTCATTTTTAAATTGGACTTAAATCTATAGGAAGACTTTTATGGAAGAAAATTGATTCTTGCTGATAGAGAAGAAGTGGAACAAGAAGCAGATAATATTTTAAAGGATGCTGATATCAGTGATGTTGCATTCCTTGTGGTTGGTGATCCATTTGGGTAAGTTTAAGCAGATGTTTTGAGAGTTACTTATTAATCAGTAATAATTATTCTATTACATTTAAAACTTACCTGCCAGATAAAAGACTGTGGTTTATCTAAGCTCTATCTAAAATTTATAGTTTAAAATTTCATTATCTTTTGAGATTAATGAGGGAAATCCACTTTGTAAGAAGATACCCATTATAAGTATCACAACATTATAAAATGTCAACTCTAAAATTTGTATCTTTGATTTTCTTCTTTAGAAGATGATGTAGGTTATCAAAGCCTTAACTAGTGTATCATTATTAAATATGTCATTATATTCTCCAAAGTCATGCCTGCCATTTGGTGCAGATAATTACAATCATCTTTGGCTTCCTTTGTTTTAGGCTTTTTTTTATCTTTTTTAATCATGTAATATTTGATTATACTACTGTCATTTACGTGTCTTGAATTTATAATTTTTCAAGCTTCTGATTTCAATTTCTTATATCCATTGGGAGCCTTGTTCTTCCTCATTACAAAGAAGATGTGCTTCTACTTGTCTAGTCAAGCATCATCAATCTCTGATGTCAAGCCAAATAGAATAGTTTTTGTCTCCAGCTGGTGACCCAAGATTTATGTCACAGATTTAAGGACCATAAGGACAATTAAATCACTGTGAGCCCACCATCAAGAATGTTTCTCACAACAATGGAGTTACATGTGTATGTGTCTGCCAAAAAGAAAGTAATTTATATCAGTGTGATGGGCCATACTCTGCAGCGTTATTAAACTTAATTGGAATAACTCTGGATAATCACACATTTTTAAATATTTAAATAGTTTGTCTTAACCTCTGACATTGTTTTCTTAAACTTAAGACTTTCTCAAAATTAATAGTACCTATCTTCTTTTTTTTTTTAACCATAGGATGGGAAAATGAAAAATCCCATAGAGAAAATATCTTCTAATTCTTACAGAATTTTTTCACTAAACACTGACTCCTTCTGCATAAAACCTGAGTTTCTGTAGGCTAATCTCTCACTAAACTTCCCAACTTGATATACTACAATTCTTACAGTCACCTAGTTGAGCAAACTCAGTAGCTTTTTACTTTATTGGCATCCAATCACTGACAATGTCCATTGCACAGTAAAAACACTACTGGAAGTGAGGTTTGCAGACAGATGCCAGACCACAGATTGTGTGTTCTAGTCCATAATGAGATAAGATTAGAAACTGGGAGAAAGCATTTAGAAATTTTTGTAGCTATCTAAAAAGCAAATTTTATGTCTACTGAATTAATAAAAACTGAGGGCTCATATTTGGTATCACTCCATTTCATGTTTTGTTTTTATAATAGTTTATTTTTATTGCATTTTACAAAACTGTTGTTCCATAATAATTTGGAATCTAAAACAAATTAGACTTTCACCATAGATAATTTGAGAAGCATTGCTGTTGAATTGTGTTTTACCAAGTTTTTCTTATTCTTTCATTCCCTTTTACTCTGGCTGCCACTCTTATACCTAATCTAGCCTCATGCATCTTACACCTTTTGGCTGGTCTGTATATAAACTCCTTACCCATACTGTAGTAAAATCCATATTTGTAAAAACCATAATTTGGAAACTCACTAGGTCTCTTATAAATAAGAAGTTTATTAGCTCTATCATTAGCCAGATATTAAAAACACTGCCCAACTTACCCTTCCGTCTATAACCTACCATTCTTTTTGAAGCCCACATTTATGCTAACCAGTTTGCTTTTTCCCAGTTATCATGCTTTGTTACCTTCATACCTTTGTTCAAGGTCCTTCATCTTGAGTGACTTGTGAACTACCTGTGACTAACAGAAACCTACTTATCCTTCGAAGCTCAGCTTTCCATGCTATAGTCCCTTATTATTCCAACATGAAGTTATGTCTCCACTGATGGCATATATCATTCATACTCATTTCATATAGTACCTCACACTTTTTTTTATAACCTCTACATTTACTCTTCTTTTATATTTGTAGGCTGTCCTTCACATTTTTATCTCATTAGCTTCCTTCATAATACTAGATATAGAGTTGGCATTAATTAAATATTAATTTAATAATTTTGGTATATTTTGCTTAAGGTCAACAGAGAAAAACCAGAAATATCTTGAACTGACATTTATCCAGTTAACAAATGACTTTTGTACACCAATCTTATGAATTCCTACATGCTGGATGATAAGACATGAATTTATATCTCAGTGGGGGAAGTGACAATAATCAGAGAAAAATAAATTTTAAATTTTGGCAGGCTCATGAAGGGAGAAAAAAGAAATAATAGACTTATTTATATAAGGTTATATGGAAAAGACAGTATCTGAAGAATGAAAAGGTATAGAAGGAAAGAATATCCTAAGCAGAGGAAACAGTAGGATTGTACTTATGGGATTGAAAAGGCTAAGGTGGCTATAGCATAGTGAGTTAGGGAAAAAAAAGAATATGTGAAAGTGTCACAGATATAGGCAGCAGCCAGATCATGGTAGGCTTTGAAGGGACCAGGAATTTTACTTAGATTTTTAGCAGGGACAGTCTGTTTGACATTATTGAAAGAATACTAAGTGTTTAGGTAAAATGGATTTTGGGGAGGCAGGACATATTTAAAAGGAAGAATGTCAGGATGGTCTGATAGATGGGGAAAAGTAAAGAAGTAAATGTGACTTTGAGGATTCCAGCTTTATACTTTAGTAGTAGGCGCCAGTTCTTGAAATAATGAAAAGTGGTAGACAATAGGATTGGGGCAGATAATAATTAGTTCTAGAAACATCTTAAATTTGAAATGTCAGATAGACTGTTAGATTATCTGCTGCTGGAGCTCAGAAGAGGATTCATCCTGGGAATATGGCTTTTGAAGTTATTCATATGTAGATGGTATTTAAAGCCAGAGGAATAGATAGAATCATTTTAGAAGAGAAGGGAAGAACAAAGGACCAAGATTCAAGCCCTAGGAAGCTTGTACATTTCATGGTCTAGCTATAGCTAGGGGGGAAGGAAAAATAAGAAAATATGTTGTCACAAAAGCCAAGAAAAGACTTTCAAAATGGAAAGACTGGTGAACTTTGATATACTGCTAAGAGTTTGTATAGAAGATGAGGAAAGAAAAGTATGTTTGAAGTTAGAGGCATGATGTTTGGAGTTCAGAAGTACTAACTTTATGGGGGAGTTGGTAATTGAACGAGCTTTGGATAGGGTTCACAGGTAGAGCTTAAAGGCCTGGTGGAGGAAAGTGGAAGGGGGATTCCATGTAAATGAACAGACTTGAATTAATCATTAATTTAGAGATTGAGTTTCACTATGTTGCCTGAGCTGGTCTCAAATTCTTGGGCTCAGATGATCCTCCTTAGCCTCTTGACTAATAGGGACTGCAGTCATGTGTCACCACATCCAGAATATGTTATTAAATCAAGCCTTGAAGAATCACAGTTTCAATGGATTAAATGGAGATACCAGGAAAGAAATGTGTAATGTGTAACACTTCCTATTTACTTGAATAAAACATGAAAATGAAGATTGTTCAGGATGTTTAATCTTAAATTCTTTTTAAAAATATTTTAAAAATTGTGAGAGAACACACAGCAAAATTTACCATTTTAACCATTTTTTGAAGTATACAGTTCAGTGGCATTAAGTACATTTACATTGTTATGCAAGCATTGTCACTATCACTATCCATCTCCATAATCTTTTGAAGAAGATAATTAGAAGTCATAATTAAGCAGGTTGATGGAGTTCTCATCTGTATCCTTTTATCCAGATTATTGAAAGGAATATGGAAATTAATCACATAAAGAATGTAAATTACTCTAAAGAAGTACATCAATAAATCTGACTTAATCATGTGAGAGATGATAGTCTCAAGCATTGTGTCCTAATGGAGTTGTTGCATGGGGTCTTTATTAAACAAACTCTGTCTAATAATGGATTTTTTTATTATTCTATTTTATATTTTAATATATCTGTAAATATATACATATAAATAATAAAGTGAACACATATTTTATCTTTACTTTATATGACTTTCCTTTGATGCAGTATATACACACAAAAATGTACCTTTATTTACTTTTCTCCCATGTGCCCTAATGTAGGCCTTTTGATTATTTCCATTTCATGTAATGCATGGGAACAATGTTTAGCACTTAATAATTGTCTAGTGACTTTCAGCACTATCAGTAGTCCATTTTTTTTCCTCCAGTAAAGTTGTTATTATATAAATTGATATGTACAGTCCCTTAGTTCTCCCCTACTTTTCCACATTTTATATTGTTTCTTTTATGGTAGATTCTCCCAAATAGGTTTTCTTTTCAAGATCAAAAAAATAAAAAGTTGTGGACTTGGACATTTTCTAGCATATAAAACACACACTATCAAATTATCTGTCAGAAGGATGAATACCAGATTATGGAGCTTCCAGTAGTTCATGAGAACATAGTTTTTACAATGTTATTTCAAGTTCTAGTATATTTTTGGACCAACAGCACCCATATGTCAAATATGGTGATACTTTATTTGCAAACTGATATTATTATAAATAAAATTTAAAACATACTCAGTCTTATATGTTCAAACTGATTACTTTTATGTACCATTGATTTTTTTCTAATTTTGAGACAGGTCTTGCTAAGTTGCTGAGGCTAGCTTCAAACTTGTGATCCGTCTGTCTCAGGCTCCCCAGTTGCTGGGATTACAGGAGTGTACCACTCTGCACAGCCGGGTCTAGTCATTTCAAATGAACTTGTGACAGATATAATTGTAAACCAGTTTTTCATCTACTTAAATAACTCACCAATAACACATCTAAAATTGAAAAAACTTATTCAGTTCTCTTTAATATAAGTAAAAAGATTCTCTTCAAGGTGATACTAAAAATATTCTTTGCAACTGGCATTTTTTTAAAGCTACTGTTAATCAGATTGATGCTTATTTTTATGCTTGTTTTTATTTTATCCATGTGATTGAAAACAGGCTTCCCTGGTGGGTATGTGTTAATCAGGATCTGACTGCCTCATGGGGGATAAGCCCTTGATCTTCCTGCTTGATATGCATTGACCAGTTGAAAGGTTCTGCTAGTTTATAAGTAGTTTCTCAAACATGCTAATGTTGCTTTCCCCAGTAGGGCCTGGAATTTTTATCAAGAGGGAACAAAGCCTTTAGTAGTACTATTCTAAACTGATGGGGTACATTTCACAGTATTCATATTTGTATTTGTGTATATCTTTCTGTACCCCCACCTACCTAATTTTAGTCATGAGATTTATCTCAGGAAAGGAAAGGCAACAGGCAGAATATTCATACATACATACATACATACATACATATATGTGAAACCTAATTATAAATAGTAGCCAAACTGAAAACAGTTATATATAAAATGACTGCTAGACAGATGTAAACCCCAAACAGAATTGTCAAACAGAACTGTAATATAAAACTGACTAACAAGCCATGCAAATTATGTATTCTACCTCATGTTTTAAAATGCAGAAACAAACCCTTCAAAATAGAGTAGAAACAAAGAATTGGATCTAGTTGTGCTACAGTTTAAAACTCCGAAACTGTAATTTTAAGAATTTAAAGGATTTCACTTATGTAAAAACTAAAAAATTGATCTAAAAAGAAGAAAGAGAGTAGAATAGTGGTTTACAGAGCCTGGCAAGGGTATATAGTGGAGGAGTAGAGAAAGGATGTTTAATGGGTACCAGGATGCAATTGCATAGGAGGAATTGCTTCTTATATTTTATAGCATAGTTAGATTCAGTTACTTGGTTATTTTAAAATAGCTGGTAGAGAAAACTTTGAGTATTCCCAACACAAAGAAATGATAAAGCACACCCAACTACTATGTATAATTATAAAACTCGACTTAAAAAAAAAAATGAGCCGTTCACAGTGGCACACACCTGTAATCCTATTGTCTTTAGAGACTGAGGCAGGAGGATCATGAGTTCAAAGCCAGCTTCAACAACAACGAGGCACTGAGCAACTCAGTGAGACCCTGTCTCTAAATAAAATATAAAATAGGGATGGGGATGTGGTTCAGTGGTCGAGTGCCCCTGAGTTCAATCCCTGGTACCTCCAAAATAAATAAATAAAAATAAATAAATAGCAGTTGGGTATGGTGGTGCAGGCTAAGGTTGGAAGATCACAAGTTTGAGGCCAGCCCAGGTAACTTAGTGAGACTCTGTCTCACAATAAAAAAAATAAAAAGGGCTAGTGTAGCTCAGTGGTAGAGTACCCTGGTTTCAATCCCTAGTACAAATGAATAGATGAATGGATGAAAGAATAAAATGTCTGAGGTAATAGATGTGCCAATTACTTTGATCTTTACATGTAACATTGAAATGTCTCATTGTATTCCATAAACATGTAAAACTAAAAATTAAAAGATTTTAAAGGGGCCATAGGATCAAAGAGTTTAAGAATTTGCTATAAAAGAGTTAAATTGTAAAAGAGTTAAGTTCTACAATGGACAAATAAACTTCCATTTTTTTTTTCAGTAGCTGCTTATGTTATAGTTGTAGTTCAACCTTGTGAAAGGTGTGTGTAAGCTTATATTTTATTGCTAAAAAGCACAGATAAGATGTGGGGATGTAGCTCAGTGGTAGAGTTCTTATTACTTAGCATGCCTAAAACCCTGGGATGGATCCCCACCCAAAAAAAAAAGAAACACAAAAATCAGATAAGACGTATGCAGACAACTAGTAGAATTTAAGGAAAAGTTTACTGATTGATCAGTTAGAACTTATGAAATAGAAGACTTCTACTGTTTTAAAAGTAAGTAGCATTAACTTTAATACAAATCCACTGATTTCTCACTACAGAGCTACGACACATAGCGATCTCATTCTGAGAGCAGCAAAGTTGGGCATCCCTTATCGTGTTATACATAATGCCTCCATCATGAATGCTGTAGGCTGCTGTGGTTTACAGGTAGGTAATGCTGTCAAGGCAGTTTTAAAATGGAATTAACTGAAAATGTTTTATTTTTCTGAAAATTACAAGTAGATTTTAGTTGTTCATGAATTATAAGATATACTATTATTTGATAAACATACTATTTAATATATACTAAGTTTTTTTATAGCAAATTTTCCTATAACTTACGTTTTCTCTCTTTTCTAGGAATAGCCATCTAGATTTAGCTAGAGACTAATTTTGATTTTATATCCAACTTGTATGTATATTAAAAGAAAAACATAAGCTAATTATGTTGCTTAAGTTATCCTAGAGCCTTTTTATACTCATTCAAATGAGTTAATCATCATTGCCGAGACCCATATTTATCTATTATTTCTGCAGCATCCAGAGCATTGTTTTACTGGGTGAGATGGTGCATATCTGTAATCCTAGCTACTTGGGAGGCTAAAGTGAGAATTGTAAATTCAAGACCAGCCTGAGCAACTTTGTGAGACCCTATCATAAAATAAAAAAGGGCTGGGATATAGCTCAGTGGTGGTGCACTTGCAAGAACCTGAATCAAATCCCTAGTACCACAAAAAGAAAAAAATAGTAGTATGATGCTGTATTTCTTAAAAGAATCCTTAAAAGGTAAAAGCCAATCATGTTAGGCTTTTAAGCCAGCTTTGCAATTATTGATGTGTAAAGTTAGTTATTTTTAACTCCAACAATCTTCGTTTTGAGCAGCTAAAAGAGTGCTCCACAACTATTTTCTAAGATTTTTTTCTAAGCTGCTGACATGAGTTTTCCAATTTTGGTGTTTGTGTTCTGATGTTCACATATACATAATCCTCGAGTTTTCCAATTTTGATGTTTGTGTTCTGATGTTCACATATGCATAATCCTCGAGTTTTCCAATTTTGATGTTTGTGTTCTGATGTTCACATATGCATAATCCTCAACAACTATGACTTCTACATGACAAACAGTGGTTTTAAGATTTCAGTGATTGTTAAGACATATTCCAATTTCAGATAATATTACAATAGAAAAATGTGCATCTTAGACTCTGTGATATAGTGTGTCTTCTTGAAATGCATAATTTAAAGATAGATATTTACAAGGAGATACATTAGCATCAGACCCTAGTGCTATGTTTGTATCTGTAGAGGACACTGTATTTCCTGTGTTACCTAGAACAATAGCTCAGTTTAGTTGACTTAATTAATTGTGCAGAACCAGAGAAAAGTATACATGGTTCATCACTTTCTCTTAGTTATTATGTTTAAATCGGCACAGAATTTTGCTCTCTTTTGTCTAAAGTGCATACTTCAGAAACCCTCATCAAGTCTTTTTTTACAGTTTAAGATCTTGGAACATTGCTGGGTTGCAGCAAGGTGAATGCTCTTCATAGAAATATAAAATGTTAGTGCTATAATGAATGCTAGGGTTGGAGAACATGACTCCAAAATGATATTCCCAAGTTTATTCAGGTAGATAGTAGCAAAGGTTTAAAACTCTTTGATTCTTAGTCCAGTATTCTTCCATTTAGACAATGCTATCTTTCAAGAGTTGATGATTGCTGGAAGAATGGAAAAAAGAGGGAAATAAATTTCTATGTGATAAAGACATGTAAACCTTAAGCTAGTGAAACATTTTTAAAACATTGATTTTAATTAGGAAGGTAACTAGCCCTTTCGTGTTCTGTTCTAAATTATCATAGCATTTTATTTAAAAAATTTTCTCCTTTTCTTAAGCATTTAAAAAAAATTAAACCAAACAAAAATATTGACCTTTTCTTCTGATCTCCTACACTGGTAGAGAAGCCATTGTTCTCATGTCTAGAATGGATGAAGGCGTTTGAGAGAATTTACTGTGAGAATTGGAAGTTTCCATATAAGTCCCTAAATTTATATCCATGTTTACAATATTAGTTTTTTAAAATATTTGGCTTCCTCATAGTTGTGTTTAGGATTTCTCTAAGCAGCCACAAATCATTTTCTCCTCATCTTGGTTTTATTATCTAATCTGGATGTGAAATGATTTACTTGTATCAAAAACAGGAAGTGCCTTCCTAGATTCTGTGGACTGGTGAAATTTCTGCGACGATATATATTTTGTACCACTCAAATCATTAGTGTCCTAGGGGGGAAAAAAAGGCAATTATTGATTCTTTTTTTTTTTAATGTAAAATGCCTTAAAAGATCACTTAAGTTGTCCCTCAGTGTCTTGGTTCCAAGATCCCTGTAAATACTAGATTTGTGAATGTTCAAGTCCCTTATATGAATTGGTATATTTACATGTGTAGCTATACACATCTCCTGTTATTTTAAATCATTTCTAGATTACTTATAATACCTGGTACGATGTAAGTGTGTATTAATAGCTGATAGGCTGTATTATTTAGGGAATAATGACAAGAAAAACAGAGAAGTAGTTTTCCCCAAAATATTTTTGATCTGTAGTTAGTTGATATCCTGCAGTATGCAAGAACTTTGGCAAAGTTCCCTTCCTTACCATAGCTGGCCTTTTTCTCTTTACTATTTACACTAGTATTTATAGAAAAATAATAGTCTTAATGAATGGTTCTCACACTTTAGTATTCCTTAGAGTCACCTAGAGGTCTAGTAAGGCTACTGAGTCTTATCCTTAGACTTTCTGATACAGTAAATCTGGAATGGGATATAAGAAGTTACATTTCTAACAGACACTCAGGTGATACTGAAGTTACTGATACAGCTACTACACTGAAAACCAACAACCTAGATGAATAAAAAATTTAGAAAGGGAAAGAATTGTATTATATTTCTTGTAGCATAGCAGGGTTGGAAAAATAAATTACAGTATCTAGAAATACCCTTGCCAAATGTAGAAATGTTATAGGTTACCTTGTCATGCTCTCTTGCTTAAGATTTTAAAAGGGAAGTAGATACTACTTTCAAAATGCATTCTGTCATCTCTGTGAAAGAGCTTTCCCATGATTTCAAAAACAGACATCTAGTTTGTTAAGCATAGGTACCACTTTGTGTGCTGTGCTAGACCTGAACAATTCATGCTTTCCATCATCTTTGCCTCAGGTTCAAGAGTAGTAGTATGAAATTCCTAACCTAAGAATGGGAACAGACTTTTAAGTTATCAGTTTATCGATCCTTTTTGAGCTATTCTATTGATTTGTTGTTTTCTAAAGGAATAGTATGGAGAATTTAGAATCAAATCATTTTTCATTACATTTGCAGTTTATTATTCAACAAAAGATTCTTGTTTATCAGTATTTATGATGATTGGTATTGGCATAACTAACACTTTTGTATATGCATACAATCACCTATATATAGGTAGTTTTATATACTATATTACAGACGTGCTATAAAAATAAAATTCCTCTATAATCTCAGTGACTTGGGAGGGTGAGGATTACAAGTTTGAGGCCAGCCTCAGCAATTTAGTGAGACCCTCAATTTAGCTAGATGCTGTCTCAAAATTTTAAAAAGTACTGGGGATGTAACTCAGTAGTAAAGTATCCTTGGGGGTTTTTGAGTTCAATTTCTAGTACCATAAATATGTAATTTAAAAATTCCTTACCACAAACCCCATATTCCTAATGAAAGTTTTTCTTATAAAATGTAAACTATACGAGAGGCTTCCAAGTTAGACATCTTTAAGATAAATAATGATTCATTCATTCAACAGTTAATTTACTTATAATTTGCTTATTAAGGTAAACTTGACCTATACAGACTCTGTATTTAAGGAGTTTATGTTTTGTTGGAAAGAAGAGGCAATAGCCAATAAAAAATGATTGTGTAATTTTCTCATCATTATGAAGTGCTCCCACTTTCTCTGGTTGTTGCGTGAGTGACCTTGAGTATTGCCATATGTGCTTTGGTTTATGTAATCTGCTGTGAAAAAAAAATGTATATCACTTTCAAAAACTAGCAACTCATTTCCTTCTTTTCATACTACAACACTCATTGTGATAATCAGCATTGTTGACCTTGTAGTTCTTGCTGTTTGTTTTCAAAAGCATGAGTTGGTTTCATTGTTTCCCAAGGGCTAATGTAGGAATGATGACAGTACAAAAACACTTAAGTGGGTACTAAGTCTAGTAGAGCTCCACATGGTTATCTAACTTTAGAACTCATCTAGCTGTTTATTTTCCTTTAGTCATATAAGAACTTCTTTGACTACCTGCTAAATCACTGGTATATTAAAAGTTTTTTTTTCTTTTCCATTTAATTTCTACTTACTACTCTTTCTAATCATTATTTTAATAGCACCTTACCAATTCTTTTTCAGTTCATAGTTTTATCTTTAAACTGGTTCCAGTGTGCCATTCTTCTAAAAAAAATTCTGGTAAATACTTTGTTTTTACTTTCTTTTTTCTTTCTTTCTTTTGGGGGAATAGGATTGATCCCAGGAGCACTTTGCCAGTAAACTACTTTCCCAGCCCTTTTTATTTTTTAATTTGAGACAGGGTGACCTTGACCATATGCTTCTCCTGTCTCAGCCTCCTGAGTTGCTGGGATTACAGGAATGTCCCACCACCCTGGCCAGATGTTGAATTACTTATGCTTTTGCCATATTATTGGACTCTGATTTCTCGTATTTACACCTTTCATTGCACTTTATCGTAGTGGCATGCATACAATCAGTATGCAGCAAATATTTCATTAGTTGAATTGTTTGTTTATCTCTCCACCCAAGTCAGAGCTTGTCTTTGGAATTATGTGCTTTAAATGTGATTTTTTAAATTTATTCTTAAGTGAATTCTGTCATCTTTATATGAGAATATAAATTTTATAGCTCTTCTGTTTATGAAGTCAGACTCAACTTTTAAGTCTCTTTCTGTAAGTTGGCCAGGTTCATAATCTTAGTGTCAGCAAAAATCAGTATTAAGCAAAATTCATTTGAGATAAAAGCAACAACAGCAGCACAACTCTCAAATCTGTATTCTGTGTAGAAGAGAAAACTAGCCACTTTTTATTATGTGGTTTTGTGGTGCATGTTTTGACAATTCTGCTGGTTTGGCTTTCCCTCACCCTTCCTGGATTTAACTGATTTGATTTAAGACACGCATGTGTCGCCTCGTAGATTTAACAGATTTTTAAACAAAGAATGATAGAAAATATTTTTATTTGTAATACAAAATAACAAAAGCATTAAAACCTAATGATAAAATAAAGTGTTACAAAGATTTACATTTCTGAAAGGAAGGAATTATTAGTGGCTATAAGATGAGTTGGGAGACTGTTAGGGTCCCTTAGGTAAGTGGTGTTTGGGCTCAAAGCAACTTGATAGGGAATGAATTGAGTGTCAGGTTCCGTATGAATTATATAGCTGTAATGAATAGGAATTGGCACTTTGCAGAATGTCAGCAATTAGAGATACAGATTAGAGGCCAGTCAAGGATATTAGTTATTTCTAGGTAACTGCTTTGTGCTATTCTGCTGCCTAGTTCATATTATATCATTCTTCCCCCATGCTCAAATTCTCTACTCTGTCTTTTGAAGTCCAGCTCATACCCAATCTTTTCAGAAGTTACTTTCAAGTGCTGTCTAACGGGGAAAATAATGAACTCAAATTATCCTTATGCCTCATATTTTATATTTATTATTTATTGCCCATTATTTTTCTTGTGCGTTTTCTCTAACTAGATTGTGCCTTATACATAATACGTAGATGATCTTGAGTTGAGGGTTTTTGTAGTACTTATTTTTTTCTTTAATAGATAAAATAATCCAATATCAAATTAGATAAACTGCATTCTCTAAATTATTCCAGGTTTAAATGTAAAGGGCCCAGGTCTATTAACTGTTTCTTAGAAAATAACTGATTTTATGGTCTTTAAATTTAGATTTGCAGTAATGATGTTTTGGAGAAAATGATCACAGCACAAAGGTTTATAAAGCAACTCAGTATTTAGGCTTCTGCAACTTCGATTCTCCTCTCTGTATGGTTTTGCTCCAGTTTCTTTTTTATAGTTTACTGGTAAACCCTCTGGTTGTGAAACATAAAGAACTGGTCCTTCTGTTCTTTGAGGTACTGACATCTAAATGGTGAAACTGTTTGCATAATGTTCCAGGATTCATTGAAGAAGTTTGCTCCACAGCCACAGAAGTAGTTATAGTGTATAAATCAGGGTCCTGGAAAGTAGTACTTCTGTGAGGTTGTCTTTAATCCTCCAAGTGAGACAATTCAAAGACACTTTTACACAAAACGCTTCAGTTAGTGTTTCTATGTGACTAGCATCTCAATTCTCTTTTAAAGGACTTTTTACTTTCTTTTTGAATGAAATTCTTAGTTATTTGTTTCCATGACTGTATTTCTATGTCTCTTAAAACATATGGCCCATTTAAAGCATTTATATAGAATTTTCTTCAACTTCGTTTTCCCTTGAAGTTTCTCATGAACTAATGTTTCAAAGTTTGATCAGAGAGGTGAAAAATCTTTTTTTAAAAGAATGTATACAGTTGAGTATATCAGAATTAAGTCATTTGTATCAGAATTATAGTCTCAAATATATAGTAATATCATTAAGCTCACTCCAACAAGGAATGGAGCTAGGTTATATCAGGGCATTGTGTTTTAGAACATCTTCATATCATAAATATTATCATTATTGCATCATTAAATCTGTGTCATTTACTGAGTCTTTACAGTGTGAGACACTATATATTTTCTGTTATTTAACCTATAAGATCTAAGTTATTAATTTTATAGTTATTTATACTCATTTTATAGGAAGTTTTCTCCCAAGGGTCAGGGAGACTATTTGACTTGTCAGCCAATACATGTACTAGATGACCTATATTAAATATTGGATAAATTTGCCTCTCGTCAGACAATAACAGTCAAACTTCAACAGGTGTAGGGCCATTCCTGTGATCTTGGTTCAGGATGAGTTTATCCCAGAAATCCCACATTGGAACTCAAAATACATTTTTCACAGAAAAATTTTGTTATATGTGACGAAAAGATTCATGACTCTGAATACTTAAGTATACTGTGTGTCTCTGCACACTACCATGTAAACAGAATGGCTACTGAATACCATGACTTCTCTGAGAGAATACCTTGTTTAGACAGTTTTCACTGTCTGGACTTGAGGAATAAAGCCCCTATTTGATAGGTAAGTTGGAGGCTGTAGCCTATAAGCAACATGATGAACCTTCCCTGTAGAACTTGAAGTCATGTTATAAATGTTGGTTATAGATTTTGAGACCTCAAAATATAAAGCCTGAGAAATTTTGAGCTTCTCTAAGGAAATGTGGATGAAGAACTCTAAATACCCCTCCTTCTCTGATTTCCTTCCTGTCTGCTTCCCCATCACCTCTTGAGTTGAAGTGGCTTCTGAAACTAATCTGAGAAGCCTAGGTTGCTGGAAGCAGTGGATGACTAACCCCTGCTTTAGGCCAGTTTCTTCATTTCCAGATGAAGAACACCAAGCTTACAGAAGCTGAGTGACTTCCTGAAGTCACAGAGCTATTTCAGGCACACAGTTAATTTCTGACAGGACTAGATGTGATGATCAGTGTTCAGTACTTTCTTGCTGTTATGAATGTCTTCAAGCATTGTTTAAATTGAAGAACTAAATCTTCACATAACAAGTTTAGTGTTATTTTTACCATACATCAAGTCTTTGAAAATAAACTTCCTTTTCACAGTGCCCAGATAAGAACTAATATTAGTATATCACTCCACTGTTTGAGTAACACTTTTTATATATTATTTGATCCTTCCAACCCTAAGAGTAGGAGGGACAGTGTTTTATCACTCTTCCTACTTTAGAGATACAGACTTAGAGTAACATCATACAAGGTACACAGCCAGAATTTAAAACTAGATTTTCTTAGCATAAGATTTGGAATTTGACTCAACTTAAGTGAACTGGTCCAGCAAGACTGGGTCACAGAAACAAACAGCTTGATTGTAATGATGGTGAATTAGAGTGGGTCACTTGGGTGGAAAGGGTGAGATTTGAGAAAAGGCCTTGATCATTAAACTTTATAGTGAGGGAAAATTTGCTAAGCTAAAGATGTATAAGCTTAAACAGTAACGGAGTTTGTATGCAATTTGTGAATTTTATTGAGATAATATGATAGGAAGGAGCATTCTCTCACACCCAAGTTTGAATATTTCTTTTTTGTTATTAATTAGCTGTGTGATCTTAGATGAGTCAGTTGACCTTTCTGAGTCTTGGTGGTCTCATCTATAAAATGAGAATAATAATATTAACCTCATAAATATAATGATATTAACTTCTTTTGACAGTGCTCAAAAGTCTTATTTTCCTCTGTAGGCTCTTCATATTTCAATATTTTCAGTGATTACATATCTAAATTTGAATTGGTTAAATGTTCCTATACTGACTGCAGGACTTCTAGGGACATCAGAAAGAGACCAGCTACTGTGCACCAGAGAACTTCTCTTGCTTTTTATTGTGACAGATTGACCTCTGACCCTATCAAGTCTGGGTCTCATTTTATTTATTTATTTATTTTTGTGGTACTGGGGATCCAGAGCCTTGGGCTTGCTAGGCAAGCACACTACCAGCTCTGGTTTTCACTTTTTATTTTAGTTATAAAGGGATTAAATTTTCTATGAATTAGTAATGAATTGTTTCATCATTAATTAATGTTTTTGTTTTTTCTAGTTATATAAATTTGGCGAGACAGTTTCTATTGTTTTTTGGACAGACACTTGGAGACCAGAAAGCTTTTTTGACAAAGTCAAAAAGAACAGACAGAATGGCATGCACACATTATGCTTACTAGGTAAGAGTTTGGAGTTTCCTTAAAGTCATAATATGGTGTTGGTGGGATTAGAAATTAGCATTGTCACTCTGGAAATCAGTATGGAGACCCCCCCACTCCCAATTAGGAATGGAAGCACTATATACCCAGCTATCCCATTCTTTGATATATATCAAAAAGATCTTAAAGCAGCTTACTGTAGCCGTACAGCCACTCAGTGTTTATAGCAGCATAGTTCACAATAGCCAGGCTATGGAACCAACCTAGGGGCCCATGAACAGATGAATGGATACAGAAAATGTGGTGTATATACACAATGGAGTTTTACTCAGCCATAAAAAAGAATGAAATTATGGCATTTGCTGATAAATGGATGGAACTGGAGACTCTTCCTAAGTGAAATAAACCAGACCCAGAAAGTCAAGGGTTCAAATGTTTTCTTTTATACATGGAAGTAGGACTAAAATAAGGGGAAGAAAGAGAAAGTCTGGGGAGAAGGGGGGTTCGGTGAAAATAGAAATCAGTGGAGTAAAGGAAGGGGATTGAGGGGAGGGAGGAGGGAAGGTGGAATAAATAGGACCAAACTTTCCTATTTACATATGTGAATATGCCACAGTGAATTTCATCTTTATGTGTATCCATAATACACTAATTTAAAAAACTATACAAAAAAGTCACAGTATGGAGTTGTTAAATTGATCTGATTTAGATTTTGTGTTATGGTGAAAACTGTTCTGTGGTTAGTTAACTAGAAGTTAGAAGGACACAGTCTAGCAATTTTATGTGTATGTGTCACTTCTTGTACTCTCAGGGAAACACTGTCTTCTCCATATACCACATAGCTAGTTTTGCATATATACAATAGTTCATGCTGTTACCTCTTATGACCTGTGGATCCTCTCCAGTTTTCCTGTATCTTACCTATTTGTCCGTCGAGGCCTTCTTTTTGTTAACTTATTGCAAGTCAGCAGACTTATATTTATTCTTACCATTAAATATCCTGCATCTTCCTACAGTGTTTCTTGAAGTTTATAGTATTGATGCTTTCAGAATTACAGAATGATAAATCCAGAAGAGACTCTGAAACTTGTTTTACAGATGAAGTTAAAACCTGGTAACAGCAAATAATTTTCCCCAATGCCATGCAGCTAATTTGTGGCAAAACTGGTAAAATCCAAATAGTCTACTATTCATTGTTCTCTTCACTGAACCATCCTGTCCAAATCCTATTTCCTGTTTGGTATAGAAAGAGCTAGGATTGCTTTCTCTGTATAGCAACATCATGGAAGGAAGAGGACATGGGCTATGTTCCTCAACAGAGGTCCTGAAAATGTACTGACTCAGATTTGTTAGTCCCTATTCTAATAGCATGTATTACAGAAACACTAGTACTAAAGCTTTATTCTCTAGCTGATGAGCAGAGCACATTAATTGACATCTTTGACCCCTGAAATGATACTTAGTTAGAATCAGAAGATAAAATCCCAGTGCTTCTACTTACTATTCCACTTACTGGCTAGACAATATCATGGAACATTCCTTAACTTTTGTCTTCATATTTATTGAATAGAAGAAATCCCTATTGCCTTATGGATTGTTTAAAGCAGTACTTCTCAAACTATTTCTGATAAAGGACAAGGGTTTGTTTGTTTGTTTTGTTTTGTTTTTTAGTGTGTATTTTATGTGTGTGTGTTTTTTTAATATTTTATGTCCTATTCTTTTATTTCAGTGTTAGATAAGTGTTTGTAAAGAGTTACTCTTCATTTGTTGCTTTGTCAATTACTGGTAACAAAATGCTCACATAATGGCATCAGTCCTAAGAACACACTTTTAATTATACTGTTTTGTTGATACTGTGAAATCACCCAGGAGGATGAACCCATGATTTTATCCTCTATAATAATACAGATATGCAAAACATTGAAAAGATTTTCATTTGCAAAAACTTTTCATTTATTGACGTAACATGTCCATTTTATAACATTATTCAATAATATATACTTTTGTACAACATAATCACTATCAAATTCAATCAATATGTCTTAATAGAAAAGATTATAACTCTCTTTCAATAATGGGTGGTGTTTCCTGTGGGGTACAAATCAGAAATTAATGTCCAGAGCAGGAGTTAGCAAGCTGGTGCCCATGTGTCAGCTCTGGCCTGCTGCCTTTTTGTGTGTGAAAAAAGTTTTATTGGAACATGGTCACACACATTCATTTCTGCATTGTCTGTGGCTACTTTTGTGCAATAGTGGCATTGAGGAGTACTAGTAGCAGAGACTTGATGATATTCAGAACCTAAAATAATTGTCATCCAGACTTTTATAGAAATCTGCCAGCTACTGACCTGGAGTAAAATTTTATCTAATCCCATGTGTTGCACCCTGTATCTTCTCAGTGACTCTCTTTCCATCTGAATTATTTTATTAACTTGGGTTGATTTCTTTCCTGCTTCATAAGAACAGGGATTTTGCTTGTTTATTATTCTCCTTAAATGCCTCAAATTCTGGCACAGTGAAGCTGTTCAGTAAATATTTATGGAAGTTAATTGGTTAAAGTTTTTTTTTTAGTTTACTTTCTCAGACTTGGTCTTATTACCCATTAACACAGAAAATGTTTAACTCTTTCTAGCGCATTTAGTTATAGTCAGATTACATTCCCTTTATTCTATTCACTTTGACACCTAATTAATTCTAGATTTTGTTTGGGCCATAAGTATTTATCTGGCTTATGTCTCTATCCCACAATTAGCTGTTTGATATATTTTCTAATTTTAGTTTATTGCCAGTTGGATTTAGTGCTTTTATTAGCAATTAATTAGCTGTATAGTTTTATCCTTGATTCCCATGAGAAGATGCTGGTCTTTACTTTTTCCTAAGCCTTACTATCAAGAACACTGTAATACACTTATTAGTTTGGTGTGGCCTGCACCAAAATTAGATATATCCATCAGTGGGTTGAAACTCAGAGTAGACTGACAGGGGAGGACAGTCTACAGCTGTTAAAAGGAATTTTATTAAAAGAAGAAATACAAGTATATAAGTATATTTAATTGAGGAATAAAAATGAGGATTCATTGGTGCTCAGATACTAGAGTGGATATATGCTTTACAATAACGATCTTATTGTCAAATGACATTTCTGAAGCTTAAAACTGAGAGTTTTTAAAACAGGGAGAAAAGTATCTAAAAGTTAGGCTACTTTCTATTCTTCCCATAAGTCCATTAAAGATGAGGGAAAGGAGAGTCAGCAAGATACATCTTTTGGAAAACTTTGAAAAGGCAGGTAGAAAATGAGCTTATAAGGATATTTATATTACTGTGCTATAAACAATGTTCACTGTTTAAAAACATAAGAAAAAATGTAAAAAAGAAGAAAATCATAGGGTATTTATTGAGCACTACTTCCATGCCCAATGTGGAATCAGGTTCTTTTGGAATACTAGGGAAGTATTAACATGAGTTCTACTCTCAGAGTTTTGAAATCTAGCTTGGAACTAATGTGTTATGCACATGAAAGTTTAAAAAGCAATTAAGTTCTATTGTATGGAGAAACAGGAAGGACAAACAAGAACTTTGGCCCTTGAATTCTGTAAGAGGTGTCTCTTTTCTTAGCTTTCCTGGGAAAAGACAAACAAGGTTAAACAATGTATCTTCCTTGCTTCATTAACAAAAGCAGGAACAGGGTATGAAGTATAGGATGTCATGATTCCAAATCCTCAAACCATAGATCTCATCATTTAATCATCTGGCATTCTCATCATTTAAATTAGTATGTATTTATTGAATGCCTCCTGTCAGCCAATAAACCATGAGAATAAATCATTGTAGGAAACCACAGAGAATTTAAAATTTCTTTATCCAACACCCATACATATGATGTAACCAGTGGTTTTGTAAAGATAGTGTTAATTGAATAGATATTTCCAAGATCAAAGATAGAGAAATTCTGAAGATTAAAAAAAAAAAAGAATTACAATGTATATTGTTTAAAGTGTGGGTAGTAGGAGAGCCACCTAAGTAAATTTATCCAGTAAACATTTATGAAGTATCACCTGGGTGCTTCACATTAAGCACTGTCACTAAGTCCTGGCACTAAGATGAGTAAGAGAATCTCTTACATTCTAACAAGTAGAAGAAAAGAGGAAAATTTATGACTTGTGGGATGACAAGGAAAAAAATAGTATACCTGATTGGCTAAAGACTAATTTGCTGATACAATCTTATGTTCAACTAAAAAGCATTTGCCTGTAAAAATTCTCCTCAACTCTCTTTATTGTAAAAATCAGATTCTATAGAGCATATCATTAAAAATATTTTTTAAAAATTGAAAATATGAAAAACGATCTTATTGTCAAATGACATTTCTGAAGCTTAAGGTGAATAAATTAATAAATGTGTTATACCTTTCAAAATCTTATAAATATCACTGAAAAGTAATCTTAAAGTCAACTTATACCATTAACTGTATTAGAGGGCATGTTTTCAATAACATTCCCATATGTGCCAGGCAAGTGGAAGTATTAAATAATGATATTTTAAATGTGAAAAATATTTCACCACTGGTTTCAAGAACATTTAAATCTTACATATAGAGATTAATCTCTCCTGTAATTTTTAAGCAAATTCATTAGTATCATTTATAAGAAAAACTTTTATATTCACTTAAGAAAGTTGTAGAAGTCTATCAAAGCTTCCTCAGTTGCACTATATTTATTTTTACAAAAACAAACTTTGGCTGAACCATTTGTTTTGGCATGTAAAACAGGAAGCAGCTGTTGCGCTTGCTGTTGTATGCAGAGTTCCTGTGAGGATGTAAAAGATTCTGCTTTTTCACCTTTTACCAAATAATTCATCTAAACCATCAGTGATTAAACGTGTAAACGATCAAATATTTGTGATGTGTGGACTGTCAAGCTTCATGAGAGCCAGCATGATGTCTGAGCAGGTTCCTGGATGTCCCAGTACTGGGACAGTATCTAACACACAGTCAGTGCTCTGAAGCCATTAAAAGTACGAGTACTTGGTATTAAAGTATTTCTTCATAATTATAACACGTTTTGTCATTCATAAGAAAGTAGAAGTTTCTTTGAAAAATGTGATAAGAATCTTTTTTCTCTTTAAGTTGCATCCATTAATTCTTGTGCCTGACAAAGCGGTCAGAATAGGAATATGACAAGACTTTTCAGTTGAGTCTATATAGTTACCAGCTAGTAAAAATGAAAACAAAGATTTTGATTAGCTGTTAGGTAGTGTACATGCCAACACTTTTCTACTTCTTTTCTTTGTCTTCTTTTCCAGTAGGAAATTAGATCCCTGCAGGAGGGTCTCAGTGCCAAGCTCATGTTTGTTTTCTAACTAGTGGCCTTTACACAACCACAAGCTGTTCTCTGATTTCCTTAAGAAAATGACTGGACACAGTGTGATCTTACACTCTCACACGAACATTTTGGAAACATTTGGGAAGAATGTTTCCATAAAATTTAGGTGACTCTTAATCAAAGTTTACAGTAGGGTTTTGGATAAAGTATACTTAATTAAAATTAAAAGAATTATTTTTCATTTCCAACAGACATCAAAGTAAAGGAGCAGTCTTTGGAAAATCTAATCAAGTAAGTTCTTATTCTGAGAATGCTTACATATATTTTAATGCTTTCAACTAGTCAGTAAGTTCTACTTAAATGATATGAGTTCTAAAGATTACTGAAAATCAGCTTTTAAATAACAGCTAAACATTATTTTTATGAAATGGTAAGCAGTGTGACAGAGTGGAAATTGCAGTAGGTTTCATAGATTCACCCTGAGAACAGCGGTGAGCATCTAATAGTAAATCATCTAATAGTAAAGCATTTTGGGGATGAATTAACACATTGGGAATCAAAAAACATGAGTTTGAGTTCCAAGTTTTCCTCGAGTATTGTGCTCTTGGGCAGTACATGTTCGTCTCTGAGACCTTATTTCCTCATATGTATATTGATAGCAAATATTCTTGTTTGCTTAGAGATGGTAGCCAATATAGTAGACACCACCCACACAAGACTCATGAGCACTTGAAATGTGACTGAGGAACTGAATTTTTCATTTAATTAATTTAAAATGGATATTCCATTTTTTTGAAAACCTGTAAGTTGTTTGGAACAACTTCATTATATAAATCTATATGACCATAAATTTTATGAAATTTAAATACAGATCAAGTATTTCCAAAGAAAATTAACATCCAAGATGTTTTGTATGTATATGCCAGATTTCAAAAACTCAGTATGAATACAGTCTTTTTAATAATTTATATGTGAATAAATATTAAAATATATTTTGGAGATATTGAGTTGAATTAAATATATTATTAAAATTAACCTTGCCATTTTTTTTTCATGCCAGAGTTTGAACCCAGGGGCACTTAACCACTGAGCCACATCCCTAGCCCTTTTTTATATTTTATTTAAAGAAAGGGTCTTGCTGAGTTGCTGAGACTAGCTTTGAATTTGTAATCCTGAGGCTGCTGGGATTACAGGTGTGCACCACCACGAGCAGCTTAACTTTGCCTTTTTAAACTTTTGTTATTGTTGCTGCTGGAAAATTCGAGATTATGTTGTGGCTTCTATTGTATTTCTACTGAATACCACTGACTTAGAATTGTTTTGTGAGCTAGTAGAATAATCAAAACAATTTCGTGTTCTTGGGCAAGAATCAAGCAGAGGTAGTGTAGGGATTTCTTCTCCCAGAGAAAGAGGACTAGAAATGTTGTCCCTGGTGAGAAAGGTGATAAGCATTGTGAAAGCCCCAGGGGCCATTGGTCCCTACCGTCAGATAGTGTTAGTGGACAGGACCATTTACATCTGTGGACAGATAGGCATGGACCCTTCTAGTGGACAGCTTGTACCAGGAGGGACAACAGCAGAAACTAAACAAGCTCTTACAAACATGGATGAAACTGTGAAAGCTGTAGGCTGTGACTTCACTAATGTGGCCAAAGCAATGTTTGATTGGCTGATATGACTTTAGTACTATCAATAAATCTATAAACAGTATTTTAAGAGTAATTTTCCTGCTAGAGCTGCTTACCACGTTACTGCTTTAAAGGAATACACATAGAGATGGAAGCAGTAGTTGTTCAAGGACTTCTCACAACACAACTCTATAAATGTGCGACATGTCTTTAAATTAACACCTTGATTTTTACAATTGATGTTGGAAAATGTACATGTGACTAAAATATCTGAAGTTACCATGGAAATACCATATCATAGAGGGATTTGACATGAAATGAATATTAGATAATGAATCCAGTTACTGATGCTATAAATTACACTTATGTGCACTCATTGCTGAATATGGGAGAAGAGATGATCATTATATAGTCATTTAAGTAAATAAAAGTACAGGGGAATTAACATGTAGGAAAGATAAGTTATTGTTCCTGAAAAATAATAAAAGGCAAACGTAATTCAGTTAAATTCTATTAATTTATTGGGTGAAATATTTAGTTATCATGTTAGACATGTGATTCTGCCTTTTCCTGAGTAAATTTTCAATCTTGAATGGTAGAAATAAAAGAGAAGAAAGTGGGCCAAATTTTTATAGAGGCAGTATTTTTTTTTCCTAATGGAAATAAAATAGACAACCAGATTTCCCTTAAAAAAGTCATAAAACACTAACATCTAACTATTTGATTGCTATGATTATTAGGTAAATCTGGTAGGCTTTTTAGACATACAAAAGGAGACATATATCCAAGATTTTCAGTTCTTTACTCCTTTTGTTTTCTTAGGGGTGAATTGAAAAAAGAAATATGTAGTTTAAACATGTTAATAAAAAGATGCCTAGCATGTGCCAGGCTCTAGAAATCAATTCCCAGCATGAAAAACAGTAATAATAAAAAATAAAAAGACTATAGAACCTGATTAAGCTACAATATAGGCCACATTGACAACTTTTTAAAAATTATTTTTGCCTGAGGAATCACTTTAAATGAAGAACACATTGATTTAGATATTGATTCCTGTGATCATTTCAGTGAGATCAGAGGACAGTTGAAATAGAGCAGTGTAAAACAGCTCAACAAAATTTGAACATCACTGTGTACTTAAAAGTCATTATCAAGTAGCCAAATGAGGTGGCACATACCTGTAATCCCAGGACTTGGAGGCTGAGGCAGAAGCATTGCAAGTTGAAGACCAGCCTCAGCAACGTAGTGAGACCTTGTCTCAAAAAGAAAAAAAGGGCTGGGCATGTAGCTCAATAGTGGAGTACCTCTGGCTTTAATCCCCAGTGCTGCCAAAACAAAAAGGGGAAAAAAAACAGTTGAGTACCAAGTGAAAACTCCAGACAAAATGTAGGCTATACGATTTAAGTATACCTGGAGGAGTAATTGCATTAGTAACGTATTGTGTAATTTCATGACTAAGAACAATGACTTCTAATTTTGTGCATATAGGGGCAGGAAGATTTATGAACCTCCTCGCTATATGCATGTAAACCAAGCAGCCCAGCAACTTCTGGAAATTGTTCAAAATCAAAGATTACGAGGAGAAGAACCAGGTATTCAAGACCCTGTATGGGCCTTCATATTATTATTCTTCTGGTGCTACATTGAGATAGGTCTATAATTTAATGCCTGACACAGATCTACATACATATATATTCCTCCACTGAAATGTAAATGTTTTTGCATTATACTATATTTCTTGTCCTTTTTTTTCTAACCTTAACTGAATATTGCAGACTTTAAGTTTTAATGAAAGAAAAATAAGTGAGTTCTTTACAATAAAATCAGCATAATTCCAGAAAGTGAGGATTTTTCACCAGCTAATCAGATTTGATATAATTATGTTAATGTATAAATAATTTGATAAAATAGAGAACTTTGATTTTGGCTCTATTAGATAAATGGTGAGATCAGTCCTGTAAAAATATTTTTATTTGCCTTATACTCTTTCTGAACATTGAGATCAGAAGTTTTTTTTTTCAGGGTAAAAACAAAGAAAATTTATCTTTATATTCCTAATAACTAGATATAGTGGTAGTATAGAAAAAATATGTATTGTCAGTAAATCTTTATTAAGGATATTGTCATATACTGTCTTTGAATACTTGTCCTCTGATAAGAAAGATGACATTAAGAAATTCTTGAGTGACATTGCATATTTTATTCTCATTAGTATTCTTGCTAAATTCATGAAACATAGTTTGCAAGAATGTTCTGCATTCATAACTTCATGCCAAGTTCTTTGCATGTCTACTTTTCCTGGTATAAATCATTTCCCCATTTTGATCACTGTTCAATCAGGACTATTTTCCCAACTAAACAATGAAACCAGTAACAGGTCAGCCCTTCAACTGTACCACCATAGTAAATGATACTAAAATTCGCTAAAGTTGGTTATTCTGAACTTAAAGCATACCAAAATGCCTATTACTTGTAAAGGACTCTATAGTTTACTAAATACTCCTATATCCATTGTCTTAGTCTTCACAACTACCATTTAAGAGTGGTGGTATTAAATTTTTGAAAATGAGAAAACTGAAGTTTGTCACATAGCTAATGAGGTGGCCAACCAGAAACACAAAGCTATGTATTTTTCTTATAATCCCATTGTTTTTCTGGTATATCTTGATTAATATTAATCTCAAGAATTTATTGAAAGTATAAGTATGTCACAAACATGTTCACTTAGAATCTGTTTTAAGATAAATGTTATGAAATTGTAAGGAAAATAGATACATCTGTCTATTAAATCCTTAAAATATGAGCTTATGTAATCCCTTGGAATTCTCAATAAAATAATTGATCTATAGTGAATAGCTAAGGTGATTTAAAGATAATGGGGGCTTCTTTAAATGTACTTGTTGTACTAATATTTTTGCATATTGAACAGGATGATGTATTTACTGAATTAAATGTCAGTATCTTTTTTTTTTTTTTTTTAATAGCAATCACAGAGGAGACACTCTGTGTTGGCTTAGCCAGGGTTGGAGCTGAAGACCAAAAAATAGTAGCAGGCACTTTACAACAGATGTGTACTGTGGACTTGGGAGAACCATTGCATTCCTTGGTTATCACAGGAGGCAGCTTGCATCCACTTGAGATGGAGATGTTAAGTCTGTTTTCCATACCAGAAAACACCTCAGAATCCCAAAGCATCGATGGACTCTGAACATGGACATTTTCTACTCTGGCACATTAATTTCAGTTAGATATGGATATACACATCTTTGTATAACAAATTAAGCAGGTCTTTTGTTTTAACTGGTAAGTATAAAACAAATAAGCAAGAAGAAAGAAACCAACAATGCTTGATTTCCGGTGGCAATAAATTTTCCCCATGTTATCATCACTTGTTGCTATTTTGTCAGCTTTTCAAGATGTACACACATGGAGCAAGTTAAGCTGGAAAACTTGTAAATTGACGTCCATAGAATCATTTTAAAAGCAGATTTTGTCTTTGAGAGCAGTAATATAAGGTAGTTGGTGCAGAGTATAACTTAGAGGAGGTGTAAGGTGAATCACTTGAATCCTAGTTTTAAAGGGTAAGAAATGTAGGAGTGGCAAGTAAAGCAAATAAAAGAACTAGTAACAAACACTTCGCATATTGATTTTCTTTTTTTCATAAAATGTCAGCTGTCCTGACTGTAAGATGAGTTAATCCTGACAGCGCTGGTATCGGGACTTATAAACAATGGTGGGAGGAATAGCTGTCCACCCAGCAACCTACTCAGAGCTCAACTGAGCACATGGCATACAATGACTGCCTTCTGAACAGGGTGTCTTGGTTAGTTGACATCTTAATTATGTGACTCATTTTGTATTTTGGAAGTTATATAATTGTTGAATTATAAATGTTCAGCTAGCCATGTGCTGTTGCTATTTGATTTTAAATAGACTCTTTCTCACCAAGCAGACCGATGGAAAACTTGCTGACTACAAAATAAATTTTTAAGAATTCAGATTTGAAGACAACAAGAGATTGGTCAAAATCCATCATAGCACTTAATTTAGTAAAGATGCCTTCATATTTATGCAGGTAGTTACATTCTCCTTACTGGTTCTAGATAACTCTCATTTATTGTACTTCATGACCATAAAGTTTTATACTTTGGTCAGTTCAGAATAGAAATAGCTTTGTTACATGTTAGTTCAGTTAGTCCAGTTTTGAGTATTTCCATGGCCTAATCAATTTGACCTCTTTGCTTAGTAAGTTCATTGAAAGTTGAACAAAAATTCCCCAGTTTCATGATCTTATCAATTATCAAGAAATTATTTTTACTTATTGGAGATAAAAGATTTTTATGTATGTGATACATCCCATTTTCTGTCTGTGTACATAAAAGGGGAGAGAGCTGAAGACCTTTCAGTACCAGTTCTACATTATTTTCTCCTGAGGTATTAAACCAAACATTTAATTTAAATGAAGATCTTCTTATTTTGGTAAAGGTAGAATAGCTTATAATGTACATACCCTCCCAGTATAAACTTCAGGCAAAGTATAATAACAACTGTCTAAAGACACTAGGGAGAATAGGAAAGACAGTAGAATGAATCGGACATAACTTTCCTAAGTTCATACATGAATACAGGACCAGTGTAACTGCATAGCTTGTTCAGCCACAGAAATGGGGTCCTAATTAGAGTAAGTTTTGTGCCATGTATGTATAATATGTCAAAACACATCCTACTGTCATGTGTACTTATAAAGAACAACAACAACAACAAAAAGACTAGAGAATCACCAAAAACAGGCTGAGCACTATGCTAACCTGGCTTTCCTCCTCAGGGCATTCCCAGGCTGGTGAAGAGTGGCTAGGATGCAAGAGAAACTTGCGTCTTATGTCTTGAGGTTTTAGAGGATGGGTTTGGGGGCTGCTAGAGGAGATGGAAATTGAAGTAGTAGATCTTAGAAACAAAGGTGCTGTTTTAGTCAGCTTTTTCACTGCTGTGACTAATGGCCCTGATAAAAACAACTGTAGAGGAGAAAAAGATTGTGTAAGGGCCCATGGTTTCAGAGGTGTTAGTCCATAGAAGGCCGACTCCATTCCTCCAGGATTGAGGTGAGGCAGAAGAACATCATGGAAGAGGAGTGTGGCAGAGGGAAACAGCTCACATGACCATCAGGAAACAGGGACTCCACTTGCCAGATATGATTATATACCCCAAAGCCACACCTCCAATGCCCACCTCCTCCAGGTACCACACAATTAATCCCTATCAGGGAATTAATTCACTGATTGGATTAAGGCTTTCACAGCCCAATCATTTTTCCTCTGAACTTTCTTGCATCGTCTCACACGTGAGCTTTTAGGAGACACTTCACATCCAAATCATAACAGGTGCCAAATAGGGAGGAGTTTCTAATCTGTCTCCTTAAATCCTTGGCTGACTCTTGGACTGTACATGTATAGAAAAGACACCATGAATCCACTAAAAGTCATGACTGAAAGGCTAAGAAGCAGAGCAGAGATTGCTCTCTATTGCAAGAGAAGACACTTTCAAGTTTGAAAAGCCCTTCTAACAAGGTAGAAGGGCTTAATAAGCACTTGGGCTTTTCATCAAACCCACAGAATGGTGATATATTAGTAAGACTAGGCCCAGGACTAGGGTTCTGTAGTAAAACTAAGGATAAAACTTTTTTGATAATATAGAATCAAACCTTCATAAAATCAAGGTGATTATCCATTAATTTAAATGCATGCTAGAACAAAGCCTAACACTTTGAATATGATAACAAAATGAGTCTCTTAACATATTTACAATGACCAGAGACAATAAAATGTTATGAGGTGTGACTACATAGTTCAAAAAAAAGAAGCATATAATAGAGAACTTAACATAGCAATTGGAATTAATAGACAAAGATTTTAAAGCATACTTCAGAACTATTCATAGATGATTTAAAAAGGGGGAAAGATGATAATGGATGAGTATAGATGAGTACTTTCAAGCAAGAAGTGGAAACTTAACAAAAGAGAGAAGAACCAAATCATTGAACATAGCAGTAGACTTGCGGCAGAATAGAAATTGTCCAACCTGGGGAAAAAGAGATTAGAAAGAAAAAAAAAAAGCATGAAATCTCTGCCATGTAGAGCAGTATCAAGTAGTTTAACTTTAGGTTATTTGATTCCCAGGAGAAGAGGAAATAGGGGGGGAAATTACATTAATAAAGGCCAAAATTTCCTCAGCTTTGGTAAAACTATCAACACACAAATCCAATAAACTCAATTCCAAGTAGAATAAATAGAAAGAAAACCATACCTCATATAGCAATTAAAACTGATGAAAACTAACCATAGAAACTAAAATCCACAAAGGTCAGTAGTAGGGAATTCACTAAATTTTTGTGGTTGCAATTAAAATTTAACTAGGTATATTTATTTTTTGCAAAATATTCCTATTCTGTCTATAATTTAACCACTATATTAATGAAGTTGCAAAGTGGAAACTACATTATTTATCAGCAGGAAAAGGAAGAACAACATTGGCTTTGATCTACTATCTTGAAGTCCCAATGTTTACCAGTTAAAATGGAAAGAGCTGAAGAATACATATATTTATTTGTTCAGTAGATTTTAGCTTTTTAATACTATTTTGGTTGGACCCAGAGTATTCAGCATGTTAGATACGTGATTTACCACTGAGCTATATGCCCCCCCCACTAAATTTTAATGTTATTTTAAATTATCTTACAGCAAAACTTCCCCATAATCTTAATACATAAGATTATCATAGCCTGGCATGGTGGTGCACTCCTGTAATCCCAGCGGCTTGGGAGGCTGAGGCAGGAGGATCAAGAGTTCAAAACCAGTCTCAGCAACTTAAGGAAGCCATAAGCAACTTAGCGGAGACCTTTTCTCTAAATAAAATATAAAAAGAGCTGGAGATGTGGCTCAGTGGTTGAATGCCCCTGGGTTCAATCCCAGGTATCAAAAAAAAAAAGGTATCATCGTTCCCCCCCCACCCTAATTTCCTTCCACTGCCCCTTTCTATTTATCTTGCTGCCCACCCACAATCCCTGGCAACCAATGGTGTTTTCTCTTTTTCTGTAGTTTTGTCTTTTTGAGAATGCCATATGAATGTTTAAACATAATGCTTCTGAGATCCATCTAAGTTGTTTTGTGTATCAAAAATTCATTCCTTTTTATTGCTAAGTAGTGTTCTCTTATATGAATAAACTATAGTTCACAAAATGTGATACATTTGAGATTTTTTTTATGAAGTCTAATATTTGGTGTGGTTTTTTTTTTCTTTTTGGATATGTTGTTGATGTACAATGTTCCAACACTGTTTGATAAAAACACTGTCCTTTTTTTCACTGAATTGTGTCAATCCGTTTGTCTTTTTGCTATTGCTTTTTTCTATGCCTCTTCCTTCTGTCATCGGTTACTTATGTCTTGATTACTTTAGCTTTGTAGTAAATATTAAAAACAAGCTGGCATATATGTTGCACACCTGTAGTCCCAGACCTGCTTGAGGCCAGCCAGGGAAACAAAGCAAGACCTCATCTAAAAAAAAAAAAAAATCAAATCTCATAGGGTGATTCGGTTAACTTCTTTTTTCAAGTGTTTTGGTTGTTCTAGTTCCTTTGCCCTTCCATATAAATGCTAGCATGTCCTTGTTGACATCTACAAAATTTCAGATGGTGTGGATATTTGGGGGTTTACTCTATTTGGAATTTGATAATCTTCTTTAATCTGTAGATTACATCACCAAACCGGGGATGTCTGTAGCCAGCCTTCAAATATTTTTTTTTAGCACTGTATAGTTTAGCCTCTCATTTTGTAACTCTGATAATAGAAATGCTACACATTTCTTGGTCTCATAGGTTCTTGAGCTCCATTCATTGTTTTATTTTGGTTTTGTTTTAAGTCTGTTTTCTGTTACTCAGAGTAATTTTTTTCATCTATCTTTAAGTTCATTGCTCTTGCCTCTTCTCTGTTCTGCTGTTGAGTCCATTCTGTATGTTTTTCTAAAACTTTTTTTTTACTGTTCTAAAATTTCCACTTGGTTCTTTTTCATATCTATTTCTTATTTTAACATTTGTTGAAAACTTATTTGTGATTGCTTATTTGAATATTTTTATAATAGTTAACTTGAGGTCTTTGTTAGATAATTGCAACATTGATGTCTCAAGTCTTGGCATCTGTTGATTGATTTTCTTCTGCAACTTAAAAATTTTCCAGGACTTTATCAAGTAATTCTGATTTTTTTCCCCCCTTCGTGGTACTTTGTTTTAGCACTCCTGGGGATTTAGCCCAGGGCATTAGACATAGTAGGCATATGTTCTACCAGTGAACTACATTCCCCAGTCCTGTAGCTGGTACTTTAAAGAAATTTTTTTAAATTTTTTTGTAATTTTTTATTAGTACATTATAATTATACATAGTAATTATGGTATTGTCAAGTAATTTGAATTTAACTTGGGTGTTTTGAATATTATGTATAGATTCTGAGTCTTGCTTAAATTCTGTTGAGAAGTCTTTTTGTAGATAACAGGTGAGGTTCAGGACACAAGTACCAGTCTGCCTTCTGTGGCTGTGGTTCCAAGGTCAGTTCAGTTTTAAAGGCTACAGATCTCAGGATCTATCTTGG